CACCTCTCCTCTCCTCTCCTCTCCCCTCCCCTCCTCTCCCCTCCTCTCTCCTCCCCTCTCCTCTCTTCATTTTACTTTTTTTTTCTTTTTCCTTTTCTTTTATAAATTTTTAATTTTATTCTATTTTTTCTATTCTATTAAAATTGCCAGAATTTTCGCACAGCATGACTTTGAAAATTAAAGGCATAAAACTCATCTAAGACGTATGGTAAGCCAAAAGAATTAACGTGATATTTTGATTTCTCAAGACCTACTTCTGACAGCACTTTGACCAGCCTCTGTAAGAGACTGAAGACTCAAGCAGAAAAGGGGAAATTCTCTAGATAGGATGTTACCAGGGAATTTTAAGTTCCAAGAATATCACCACGGCTGAAGATAACAACTTTTATGGCAAAATAAATAAATAAATAATGTCCCCTCCCCAGAACCAACCTATAATAATTAGCATATCGTTCCTGTGTATTACACTTCAGTACTGCCGCTTAAATCTCCAGTTATGTTTCCAATAGGCAAAGTAATGACTACAGAGCACTGTTACCTCTTCCATAGCACTGATGAGGTTCTGGGTCGACTTGCTGATCTCTCCACCTGCAGCCGGCAGACCACTGCCATGTGTGAAGAAAGCCGATCCTGATGTTGTATGCCCGTTCATGTCTACGGTATAACTTGCTTTCACGGGACAGCAAAGTTGGTTGTGCAGGATAAAATACACCACAAAGACATAAAGACCCTGAAACAGAGAAGAGAAAAAGAACATCAGCGCGTGAGACACAAGGAGGGCAGGTCAGGGTTTGAACGCAGCCATAGTGAGGTCCCATGTACTGTAGCAGATGCCTTCCCTTACACCAGAAGTCTGTGCCTTAGAGGGCTTAGGTAGTTTCTGTGGAAAATGAGAAACCACATCACTGCCCATCAGCAATCTGGAAGTTAAAAGTCAGTTCAGACCAACCCAGAAGAGTCAATGAAGAAGGATTATTTGGTTGAACCCACGCAGTCGTGAAGCAAAGCCAAGATCCCAACAACAACAAAACCAACTCGAGTTTCACAGTTGTCATAATAGTGAAATTGTGGTCAAGGGCTGCCTTTACAATAGGATTTGGCTGCTGGCCCTTAGCCACAATTCTTTATTTCCTTACTGACCTGCTGGCTCTTTGCATTCTTACCCCAATTTCAATCTCATGCAAACTGTACTGCTGCCGTCACAGATACCAAGTTGAAACTATAAATTAGATTCTTTATGATATCCACTAATTCAGCACTGTCTTTCATTTGTATTACTACAAAGGCTCTGCTGTATGCCTCTGCAGTTTCTCTTTAAAACTTGCTAATTTTGACCTTTAGACTTAGCCAAGAAAAGTATTATAACTATGTCTTTTGTTTGCACAGAAACCCAATGACTGAACTTCTGAATATGAAATCTAAGTTTCTTTTTCTCTAAATCTTAAGTTGCACTAATACTGAGGGAAAATAATAAAATTTCAATTGATAAATCAAGCAATTCACTAATTACTAAAGAAGGGGTTAACCAAAAGAAGACTTGTGGATTCTTCCTGCTTGCTGCCATACAACTACATTTGCATTGTCTTTTGTACTTCACATTGTCCTCTAGATCCCTGAAACCAATTGCACTTAAACTGAACAGTTTATTGGAAAGGTACTCATTGGCATGAAAGTAGTAACTGGGCTTATGAATAGTAAGGAGTTTCATGTAGTTGTATTTGGGAAATCCTAATGGAAAGAATATTGAAAATATATGGACACTGCAATTACCCAAGATATATGATCACTCACATCTGTATAAAACGGGCAGCCTTGTTAAAGCTTCTGTAAAGCCATACAGATCCATGTACGCAATTTTTTAACAGCAAAACAGCAAACAAAAGTGTTTAAAACAACTATTTTGTGAAAAAAATCCCACTTTTTTATATTATTTCTTTTTGTCATGAAGACCCAGAGCAACTGAGAGGAAATTTCTTTGATATATGAAAGCAAATGCATTCCAAAAAAAATGATGCAAACACATGCTGCACTTAAGATACACTGAAAAGGAAGCAAAATGTCCTTTCTTTCTATAAACATATCCAAGGACTCTGATGTAGGTCAAGCATAATTAGACCAGCAAATGGATTTCTTTTAATTTGTTTAATGGATATGAAAAGGATAAAAACCCCATGAAGAACAGATCACAGTGACAACATTGAATTCAGAGCAGCCTCTGGCATTTCCGTCTCTGAGGACCTAGCCACAAAGGCTGCACTCACATTTCAAGTGGTTTTCTACTTTTCAAGAAAACCCATTAGCTGGAAATGCTGTGCAGCACTGTCTTTCAGGGACACAGGGCATTGGTATGCAAAGGCTCAGCTACGTCACTCCGCTGTGCAGCCCCAAGCGTGGAGACTCCCTCTTCTAAACAAAACAAACATGGAACAAAGTGCCACAATTACCTCCTTAACTCAGCTTGGTGTCCTGGATTAACACTCTGTGTGTTTCAGACACTGCTATTTCTGAGGAACTGTTGTTCTGCCAGAACCACAGAAAGGCATTTTGACACCCAAAGCATCCTTGCCACCACTCCTCCCCATTGCCACCAATTCTGCCCCTCACTGCTCTCCAGAGACACGGACCCTTGTCCTGTGCAGCAGCAGCAGCCAGCATTCCTCAGATGAGCATCCACTCCTGCATCTCTCCTTTCCTCAAGGCTGGGAGAACTCCCATGTATTGATGCAGAAGGGTGACGAGACAGCTCCTCTGTGCCCTTCTGTAATGAGCACACGGACTCGGGGAGGTTATTTGTCTATCTGAGGACAGGAGGAGTCACAGGCTGAATTAGCCAACGGAAACAAAAACTGTGAGTTTTACTTCTCCCACTCTCATAAAATATTTCATGAGTGCCTTGCAAACAGAAGCTTATACCTAAATAGACATTTACACAGGAACTGTGTTGCTGGGTAGAAGAATTCTTGCTTAGCTGGAAAACGATGCAACCTTCTTTGACCCATATTCCTCGACAAATCTAGTCTCAAGAAGATACACTCTTTAGATGTGAGCTGCTGTATCCCAACACTGTGGTTTTGTCTGAAGTATCAAAAGGGTTTTGTGGTCTTATTCTCACTACCATGTGTGTCTACTAGAAACCACTGCAACTGAGGTTTTGGAAATCAAAACAAGGCAAATTGTCCTGAGTTCCAACAATGATACACATGAAGATTCCATGGATCCAGTCCTATTGATCTGTGCTTATTTTAGCACCAGCAGCTATTAGTCTGTTCACTCTGAAAGAGCATAGGCAGGATGCACGTTTGGTTGTGTCAGTGCAACCACAGCTTTGACAGTATCAGTGTTTTGTTTTCCAAATTTGAGAATTGAATTGTCTTTGATCACACTTTTGACACTAGTTATGTTCTTCTTCACTTCAACCTTCAATAATGTATAAATAGTCTTAAAGTACTATGAAAATAAGACTATTGGCATTGTAATGTACTTTTCACTGTGTTTATCATAAAAAAGAAAAAATAAAAAAATTGGCCAAGTTGGCACCACTTTACTTCTTCAGAGACACACAGACATTGTTTGTGCTAGCTGGATCAAGTATGAAATGCAGAGAACAGCCAAGTTCTGCTGACAAAATTACCAGACCTACAGAATGTTCAAAGAAGAAACCTACACTTTTCAAAGAGATCAAAAGAAGATAGTTCTGGGTATGGATATCAATAGCACAAGCAATGTCATCTCCATTAAAAACGTGTTAAATATTAATTTTGTATTCTTAAGAAGATTTCATAAAATAACCCCAATATAGCCCCAAAAATCCCAAGCCCCAAAACCTCAGCCTAGTAACAATGTCCTCTGCTGTTGCATAAAAATTTGCAGACATTCTCATCCCGCAAGCGTGTGGGAGAGCAGTGCATTACATCTTCTTTGAGTTTTGCAAGGCTTTCAGCATGGTCTCCCACAGCACTCTCATACGCAAGTTAGGACATTGCTGTCCAGACAGGTAAGAGCACTGGATGGGTATGAGCTTGTGTGAGACCAGTGGAGGGCCACCAAGATGGTCAGGGGCTCAAGCACATGCCCTGTGAGGCCAGGCTGAGGAAATTGGGATTTTCAACTTAGGGGAGGCTCTTAGGGGAGGAATTAATGACCATTAACCGCTAGTACCTTTCCAACACACAAGAGGTAGTTACTGAGAAGATAAGAGTGGCATGGCAGGAGGATGAGAGAAGCCGGTTCTAAGTAGAAAATGGGGAGGTTCTAACTCCATACAAGGAAATCTGCTCTGGCAGGGGCGTTGAACAGGTTGATCTTTCAAGGTGCCTTCCAACACCTGACATTCTGTGATTCTGTGTGATTCTGTGTAATTGAGCAATGAAGCAATTTGCCCAAAGAGACTGTGGAAAGTTTTCCACAGAAGAAAAGAGGATTTTCCTGGTACCTTTTATAATTTGTGGGAGGGTTTTGTCCATGCATGGGTGTGAGGGGGATTCTCATATACAAGAGCTTGATTTATTTATTCTGTGGACATAGCTGCAGGAAGCTAGTAAATTAAGGACAGACTTCCACAGCTGCCAATAAAAGGGCAGAATACATTTCACACTTCGTAGGATCACATGCAAACTTGGAAGACTGATCCACTAAAAGCCTTCCTTTCACATTTGACATTCTCTCCGTCTCTTTGTCCACTAATTCTGCATGTTCCAACTCACTTCACTGACACTGCATGGTACGGTATGTCTAAATTTGGAAACTGAGATAGCTTTGCTAATAGTAATGAGAAAGGATGCAACATACTGTAGGCCATCAACAAACTATCATCTCATTTTTTACACACTAAGAGAAAACCAAGATGCCTACTGTGTCCCACAATTTTAGCTAGTCATGTAAAATAAAGAACTTTTCTTTCTCTAAAAAACACAAACACGCCATGACATTAGATTTTTTATTTATTTTTTTTAAAATCTGCACTAATAGTCATCATACTATTTACACAAGTATTTTTTTCCATGCCTGAGATACCCTACCCTGAAATTGCAAAAACTGTTTTTCCAGGGAGAAGTGGATTCAGGCAACATCATCTATTTTAGAGGAATGGAATTTCTATTTATAAAACTAACATATCTTTTGAGGACTTTTAGTGAAGAGAAGCCATTTGAACACTCCATTTGAGAAATTCCTCAATCTATTTCAGGATATGTATATCAGCACTAACAAAAATTCAGTGCACTCTACAGAGGCATTCTTTGAATTCCTATTATAATATGGAAAAATTTATTTGATAACAATAATCATGTGACTATATCCCTAACCAGGTGAATGTATCACTAAAACCTGTTTTTCTCAAAAGAGAATATAAGTGAAACCAAGGCTCGTGAAGAAAGATACTATCTTGTGTTAGACCACAAAAAGATCTCCCTCTCCAGAACAGGATCATTCTGATCATTGTGGCTACCACACACTATTCTTTTTAAAGTCACACACTTAGTGGTGCCAGGTGGTAAAAAAAAACCCCAAGAAATCACAAAAACAGGTGTCTCTGCCAACAGAAGAGTTGTCTTTCCATGGATCAGCTTTGAGACTAGCTGTCTGTAGTCACTGTGGAGGAATTTCCGCATGCTGGTTTATGCTTTGGTTAGTTTCACTTTAGTTTTTTCAATCTTATCAGGGTGAGATTTAATCTTATTCTCTATCTGCACTAGGCTAATTTAACCTTGGCAACGAGTCCCGGAAAATCCT